TGACCTGGGCACACCGCCCACATGGCGTCCGTACTCGTGGAAAAAATACCATCATTGGGAAATGCTAGAAGACTATTTAGTAGAGCTGTTACCCAAAAGTTTTGGCCTGGACACCTTTGAGTGCGAGTTGACGCTCCTTGCCGAAGACACCCTCTGCCCCCTCAGTGACCCAATTCATGAAGAGCTCTGGGACAGTAAGGGATTTCATCTGGTCATTCAAAAATGTCTACGAGAGGTGAGCTCGAAGGAGCAAATCAAACGAGAAGAGTATGAAGATCACCCCAAGGCCATTTTGGTTCCAGCCAACGAATCAGGTATCCTCCCTGCCAAAGCTTTTTTCTCTCTTGCACGTCTTCGGCGTGTGCAAGTAGAAGCCGGCTTTCACACCATCGAGCGGCAGGCGTGGCGCTACTGCCACACCCTGACCATTGTCAAATTGCCGAGCTCTGTGGTGGCAGTCGAGAATGCTGCCTTCCAAGGGTGTTATGCGCTCACCACGGTTGCAATGCCAGGGTGCGTGTCTCTTGGAGCCAGACTCTTCGCAGAATGTTGTGCCCTCGAGAAAGTAGGGGTGCTCAAAGAAAACTCCTGTCGACTGGCCAATGGGGCTATTATCTCCCCCTATGCCTTTGAGGGATGCGAAAGGCTTGCACAGATTGGCCTCCCCCCAACAAAAGCTATCGCTGATATAAGGGCTCCCTCGTCCACCCCTCTAGGCTTACCAATTGGATGCTTCCATTCGTCAGGAATCCAATTGATTCGAATGCCCCAAGGAACCACCTTTATCGGGCACAAGGCCTTTGCGCAATGTAAGCAGCTAGTTGAAGTCGATCTCTCGCAGACACAAGTGGACATTGTGCACATGCAAGTCTTTGCGCACTGCCAGTCATTGGCGCATGTATCCTTGCCAATGTATCTAAAGGAAATCAGTGCTGAAGCGTTCGAAGCCTGCGGATCGTTATGCACAGTCGCCCTCCCACAACAGCTTCGTTATATTGGACACAGGGCTTTTGCAGGGTGCAATAAGTTAGTGTGCCTCACCTATATAGAAGTACGAAAACCAGCCGACGACGCCTGTCTATTGCTGCTGATGCGTTTGAGGGGTGTCAGGCATTGACAATCCCTGGTGGGATTTGCTATCTATCCTTGCGTAGCAGCCATAGCAATCAAGGGAATATATCCCGGGGTCGAGGTAATCAAACTGAGCACTAGTACAGTTTGAAAAGCACTCAGACGGCTGCCCGTGCAGTTGTCCGTGTTCCAACCTCTATTTGTGAAACTGCTAGATAGGTGAGGCCTTTTGTGGTCTGCTGCAGGACTTTTCGGCTCGAAGTCAGGCGTGAATCTCCGGGCCAACCACTGTCAACCATGACAACAGACCATATGTCAGTGACCAGCTCACAATGGAGCGATGAAAGGACAATGGTCTTACACCTGATCTTGACCACGCTGGCGGGGGAGGAAACCCAGCTGACAATCGACCTGCAGGAATATGACCGCTTCCATGAATTCGAAAATGCAGTCCTGGAGCAACTCCCCAAAATTGGAGAGAGCAGCACCTTTGGCTGTGAGCTGGATTTTGTCTGCCGTAGCACTCACCAGAAATTAGTGGACCCAATATGGCACACCCTAAGAGATAACAATTTTTTTACTGTCATCTCGTGCCCATGCTTTGAGGAAGCCGAACACAAGGGGCAAGTGAAAGGGGACGCGAAAGCCATTCGAGTCCCGTATCGCACCACAGACAGAGTCCTTCCACAAGCCTTCTCTTATATCACGGAGGTTCGGCATGTGCAGGTTGACACAGGCCTCCGCGTCATAGGGGAAGCTGCATGGCGCAACTGCCAACGCCTCCAAATTGTGCATTTAGCTAGCGCAGTCATCTGCCTACAAACACGTGTCTTCCGCAGATGCTATGCACTCCGCACGGTGCTTGCCCCAGGCTGCAGGCAGTTTGGGATCCAAGTCTTTGAGGATTGTTGCTCCTTGATGCAGATTGGAACTAGCGTTGACACGGCCAATCAACTAGCCCCGCAGGCAGAGTTGATGCCTAGGGCCTTCGAAAAATGCACAGCGCTGCGACATCTGGACTTGGGACAGTCTGAGTACAACCCTGCCAATTTGACACGCTGCCTGCCAGAGTGCTGCTTCCTGGATGCTGGAATAACCTCCCTGTCCCTACCTCCAAACTTTAATTGGATTGGACCAGCGGCCTGCGAACGCTGTCTGCAATTGCAACAGGTAGACCTCACAAGCACAGAAGTGACGGAGATCATGGGCTCGGCCTTTGCACACTGCAAACACTTGCAACACCTAGGGCTTCCGCAGAAACTGCGAATAATCGAGCAAGAAGCCTTTCTCAAGTGTACCTCCCTGACAGAGGTCAGTGTTCCACCTACGCTGCTCTATATTGCAAGACGTGCTTTCGCTGGCTGTACACGACTCTGCCAATTCCACAGAGTCGGAAAATGCATGACTTGGAGGGGAACATATTCCAGGGCTAATGCGTTTCTCAAGTGCGACAATCTTGATATGCCAAAGTGGGTTCGATGGCTACCACGTAATCAAAAAGATGAGGACCAATGGGCTGATGACTCCAATGCAGTCCTAAATTAGTGGTAAATGTCTAGAGATGCATGAAGCCGCGTCTGCAGCTGGCACCCGCGTGCTGGCTCTGCCCATGTCAGAGTCCACCTCTCTGGAGTACCCTAACAAGAAAGCTGCCCATTGAAGGAGTTCCGTGGTATGCCTGTAGGGAAAGTGCCAGCGACCAGGACCAAGACAACCATAGGATCAATAGACACACGCTGTCACACATGGCTGCCAATGCTGTCTAACACCTCCAGGCTAGCCTTTCAGACTAGCGCCCGTGTGTTGGTCCTGAAAGTGCCACTCCATTTCGTTTTGCCCTTCACACTTGCTAGCCTGAGTAGCTAGGTAGTGCCCAGACTGCTACCCGTGTAGCGGTGCTGGATGGGTATAGTGTACAGATTTAGGAAAACGGCGTCTCACTCTGTCTCACCCATTTTCGATTAGTTCATGGGGCTACGCACGTATTGGCCGTTCCTTCCTGGCCACCATTGAGGGGAGATGACAGGTGCTTGACTGCGGTGTCACTGATGGGAAGAATGCACACCTTTGCTGTCCGTAGGAGCGTTTCTTGCCTTGCTCCCGTCGCCTAGCCGTTTTGGAGTAGGGGCGGGATCTACACGCTCCCTTTTTTGCCTCCTCCCCCCTCGGGGGAGGAACGGGACACGCCACCCTCTATAGGCTCATTCGTCCAACACTGCTGAGTGGCAAAAACACTGCTCCTTGCCTTTCGGCATTTTGGAAATTCCGATCGCAAGTGCAGTGGTCTTCCGATAGTTGCCACATCATGCCACATTTTGAGCCCCTAATCATCGTGTGCGGCACAGCAGTAGGTCCCATTTTGTCCTTCGGGGACCTGCTACTGGATATCGCTCAAACAACGCTCAAACAACGCACTGATGTCTGTCAAGTGCAATTACAGTGCATTCAAGGGTATAGCTTGTGTACGCCTCCTGCCTGCTGCGGGCGTTTTTTTGTTTATGCCTCTCGGCCCTAGGGCAAGATTTCCCAACGCTGCCTCGAACGACGCAGGCACTCACAAGTTTGTTGAGGGACAAGTTATACTGAGAGCGCTGCTGAATTCATTGCCCCGTCTCACCCTCTCTCGCAATGCCTGCAAGGCCACACGAGTTGCGCAACAGGTTGCTTCCTGCTTTTGGTTTTGTCTGGGTTTTGGTGTGTGTTTTGTGGGGGTTTGTTCTTCTGTTGTGATGCAACCTGTATAGTAACTCCTTCTTAACTCGATAAAGGTGACTTGTGCAGAACCTGCACACATAGCGCCTCGACTCGTGCAAACGAAGCATGGGACCACGGATGGTTGCTTCAAGATTCACCTGCTGCGAAATCTGCACTTTGATGAGTTGTAAAAATATGTTGTGTGTGAGACGTTGACATGAGTGGGTGTGATGAGTTGTGCAAAATGAATGGGATGTGATGAGTTGTGTGAGATGAGTCGATGTGATGAGTTGTGTGAGATGAGTGGTGCAAGATGAATGGATGTGATGGTGGTGTAAGATCAGTGGTGTAAGATGAGTAAATGTGATGAGTTGTGTAGGATGAGTGGATGTGATGAGTTGTGTGAAATGAGTGGTGTGAATGAGTGGTGCAAGATGAGTTGGATGTGATGAGTTGTGTTGTCAGTCGGGGCGGAGGGCGGTCGCGGAGCGGTGGGTGCAGAGCGAAAAACAAGAACCCCACACAGTGATGTGGGGAAAACAAGTGGTTGAAACCAGACAAGTTCAAACTCTGTGTTTCCTTTTATTATCTTTCCTCAGTTAGAGATTTCCCCAGATATGTACCGTGCCATGGGTTGGTGGGGTTTGCTTCGGTTTCGTTTTTTGGCCGGTTCATTTCTCCTTCTCTTACTAGCTTAAGGTGACTTGTGCATAACCTGCACACACAGCGCCTCGACTCGTGCAAAAACAATCTCAGCTAGAGATCTCCCCTGTGGTGTGCACAAGCTGACCTGTGGATTCTCTGCACACATGGCGGCTCCATCGGTGCAAAAAAAATAGAGATCTCCCCTGTGGTGTGGATCCAGTGGTGAGGATTGGAAACACATCTGCTTAGTGGTTTAACGTTCGAGTTGTGGCCTCACTCGAGTGAGGCTGAACTTTGGCAGATTGGCTTAACAACAAGGATTCGATCCGGAGGGCCTTTGAAAAGACCATCAAGCTGCTTGGAAAGCAACCGAAACCCAAACCATCAGAGGGCACTGATATTTGTTCTCGCCAATCGAGGACGGATAGCGAGGATGGTTGGGTGGTTAAAAGGACACCGCAGCAGCTGAACCTCCATGCGTTGCTGTTGAATCTCTTTTGGTCAGCTTGCCATGTGGATTGACACGAATCGCCAATGCAAGGGAAATTGTAGCTTAGATTTGAGGTTTGCTGCAATTTGGTGGCCTTTTCGGCTAATTGTTTTTGTTCCGACGCCACACAGCTCGGTGACCGCGTCGCGATCACTTCACAAGGTGGGACGGGCATCATGGACGCGGTTCGATGAATCATGTAGACTGTTGATGATATGTGAGCCCCGCAGGCACAAAAAGGATTTCAAAATCCATGTTTGCGGAGGCTTTATTCCTCAACAGTCGACGATGAATATTTTGTTCAGATGTGATTTGCACATGCGATCGCCTGAGGATGATCTACCGCCGAACCTTGTTTTCGCCACGTAAATTCAAGATGAAGAATGAGGCGTGCCGTTCTGTGGAAGGGCGATGTAGATAGAGTCGGATAGAGGCGAAGTGGGGCCAAGACAAAAAGAACACACTATTTCCAAACAAGGATTGAGAGGATTTTTCATGATCCTTAGGCCTTAGGATTTGCTAAGATGACCCAAAGGCGCCTTTCCTCAAAGACGATAGTTGCCACAATGTGGCAGCCATTTCTGAGTGATAACATCGCATCAAAGAAATGTGCATATGTAGCTACACTGCATTTCTTATGAAATTTGACTTGGCGTGCACAAAGAAAAACTATGCCTGGAAGCCGTTTAGTCCAAATCATGTGAACCCTCAAAAGAGGTGTTTTTGGGTGGAACAAATATCCAATGTTGCACAAACACGCAAAAGAGGTTCTTGAGTGAGGTGAGCAAGCAGCATTGAATTGACGGCGAATCATTTCAGGTTGCGGAATAGACAGCTCAGCATGCTTGAAACCATGCATATCTTTGACATGTGCGTTATGTTGGCAGTTTTTTTTCAAAGCGGTTGAATCGTGAACAGATGATCTAGCTAGAGTCCAGCCTATGAACCTTTAGATCAGCTACGTTCCTCCTTCTGATGGCTGTGAGGGTGCCCGTGCGCATTCTTCGGAGCTTCTGCAGCCCTGTCGGGCAAGTGCGTTACAGCAAGGTTCTATCGAAGAAGACCCACCAGGCGGCCCACAAGACACCGGAGATCGCGCACCCGGCGACCAAACCTGTGATAGTCGATCCCAGGAAGATCCCGAGGTATGACTTGAGCTGCTTGGTTGATCACGTGGCGGGTTCTTCTCGCAAAACGGGATCAATCTTCTCCTAGCCATGCCTGAAAACCTATTTCCACCCAGAAGCAAATGGTTGTTTCCTGAGTTCCAGCCACTTCCTCTTAGTATAAAGGATCTCAATTGCCATATTGGAACAACCATTTGTTTCGGGTGCTTGTGTTTCCAGGTGTTATTTCTACTTGTTCAATCTCCAAGTGGCTTTTTAAATGTCAAATCGGAACTGATTGGTCGTACTCTAGCAAGGCTTGGCTTCCAAATGACAACAGTTTTCTGCAGACGAACTGCTCCAAGTGTTCGGATCCAAGGCCATCTACCGGAGGAGTTCGAGAATCTACGCCGTGACAAGCACAGCGAGGCTCCGACATGGTTCGTCCCTCCAGGGCGACCTATAGAGACATCCAGCGAGGTGAGTGACATTCCAAGTGTGCTTTACGGGCACATGATGCAGGAAGACAAGTGAAGCAGTTCTTTTTGTTTCTTTCACCTGTCAGCTCTGGAGGTCCTCAGATGGATCACAGCCATCGCCCACACCATTGGCGATAAGCACGTGTCTTATCCTGACAAGTTTCCAGGAAAGCAATAAGCAAAGAGGCGATTGATTCACTTTCTGAAGTGAGATATGGTTTGCTTAGCAGCATCTCAACAACCACAAACCCTGTGTTTGGTTGCCCTTGAAGCTTAAGGTTCTGGAAAGGTTGACTTTGATTTGGGGAGAACACGTTGGGGTTTTCAATCCTTCTTGCACACACACACACACACCCAAATGGCTTTGCTTGGCCTCTGAAATCGTTCCCTTCCAGGCACAAAAACAGGCACAGGATCAGCTGAATTGGTGCAGCTTCACAATAAGCTGGCAACTGATCACTCGCTATGCTGCATTGCACTTGCTCGTGGGGCAGTGGGGCCGAGTTTCTTCTTTTGCTTCCATGGCCCTTCTCGTGGGGTCCGACAGTGTCTCCTGTCGGGGTCGCTGGCCATATCCTTCCAACGAACAATCCGCTTGCTGGGATGCTGGGACGAGCACCGGCGTACTCTTCCCAATCAATGCAAACGCAGCTACTTCCACCTAAACAGTGATCCGTGCGTCATCAGATTGAAGCTCTTGTTCTTTTTTAGACCCTCGCAGTCACTTGAATTTGATTCCAACATATCACAAAATAGGATGTTAGTCATGGTTTTGGACCCATGCTTTGGCACTGTTTGGCACCGGCGGCCCCCTCATATGCCACGTGCTCAGCGAACCATGCAGACACTTGCGTAGCATGTGCATCACTTTCCTGCAAGCCCCCTTTTCCACGCCTCGATGCGCCAGCACTGTTCCAACCAGTTGAGCTTCCTGAAATCCCCCTGGGACACCTGTGCAACATACAACCGTGACCTCAGGAAAACCAATTCCTCTTATTTCCTCTTGATGTTCATGACCCGCATCATCCCGTATCCAGATTAGGTGCCAAACCACGAGCTCATATATTAGTCCGTTGTCCATCCACTTTTTGGAAGCGATGAACCGACGAACCGAACTCGTAAATGTAACACCTTGTAAATATGGCTGGGCTTATCTCCCGTAGCACGAGGTCGTCTAGTGATGTTACCCACTTCTGCACCCCCTTACCACAGTGACTCGGAGACCAACGACGGTTCCTTTTTGCGTGGGTCCGACGTGTGCTTCTTTTTCGCCGAGGCTTGTGAACAAGGACAACTTTTGCATCACCTACAAAGGCTTCATGTATCACATCCACTCGTCTCCCCGACACCAGGACGGGCCTTCGCAGCGCCGACCGGGGGTCGACGATCTCTCGGCCGACCGGGGGTGCGTTTGAGGAGGTTCCTTCGGACCAGAGTCTCGATGGCTTAGCGCCTTCGGATAGATGTGGGAATCTCTAGAAAAAGCCTTCCAGTGGTTAGAAACTGCCAAACTGGACGTGTCAATACACCTTTTTTTGTGGGGATTCCTTTCAAGCCTTACACGTCCTCGCTGCTTCGTGTCGCTGTTCTTTTTCTCAGTGCAGTTGTTTCACCTCTCAACTTTTCAGCTGGGCACTGCAGGAATTCAGTGCCAAAGAGAAGATCCTTGGCATCACTCCGAATTCCTGTCCGGTCCGCTAATGGGGTGGGCAGACCGGAGAGACATCCATGAAAATTTGGTGAATCAAAGAGACCAAGTCGGAATTTCCAATTGACCTTTGCCAGAGTTGCAGGTTACTTTTTTAATTGGCCGACTATAGGTCTTTCTTTGCAAATGATCTATGCTTGCAATGACCAGAGACATCCAAGAAGAGGTGACTCCCCAGATATGCAAACACGAGGGACCCACGATGATTTTCTAGGTTGGAAGCATGGTACCGGGTTGACGGATTTTTGGCCTGACACGGCATGGTTGGAGTACACGATGGTGAAGGGGTCTCTCCTACTGTGCCTCTAAAATCGTTATTGAGATTCCTTGAGGCTTACAGACGGGTGGGTATGATGGAGTCCGTGCAGCCTGTTTCAAGGCGTTCTTTACCAACGAGCGGAAGAATGTTCCTGTCTCGCACTCTGAGGAAGACAGTTCTGAATGTCCTGGCACATATGGGAGTCTTGGGCAAGGTCAGTGTGGCGGAGGAGTGAGCATCAGTGAGTCTGTTTTGTGGGTCAGTGGCGGGAGCTCCACTGCACACCGCCACGCTGCATCGCCGGCCAATTCGATGCAACTGTGGAGGCTGACCGGTCACGACCGGCACGGTGTCCGTTGTACAAAGGAGCCTGGGCACGTGACGATTCCATTGGTTTCTCCGGATTTTCGAGGGACTTACAGCATGAAAGATGGGGAAAGAGTGCATCGTTGAAGGTTCGTCCAATGATTGTTCTAGAGTCATCGCTCGTGGTTGGACGTGAGCCTTTGGGTGAAATTTCAGATCTTATTCCCCTAGGCCCTAGCCCTGACCGGTTGAATCGTTATTGCCTGGGAATTTCAGGGGTGCTGCTGCCCTGTGATTTCAACAGCGCAAACATTTGGCGAGTCGCGACTCGGCTCTGCCAAAGTGTCGAGCTCCAGCAAGTTGTCGCTGAATTCTCATCAATTTCCTGGATCTGCAAGAACTGCCAGAGCCTGAAGAACTGCAGCTAACTGACCTATAGAAAATGTGTTGTGGAACAAAGATGAGGACCTGCTTTCAATCCTGGGCGACCTGTTCTTTCTGGGGACGGACAGCGACAAAGAGGGACGGCTTACGAGGTCCACCCAAAGTGCCAGTGACACCAAAGTCTTGCCGTAATTCAAAGATGTGCTCGTTGCTCGGTGACCGAAACACTGACAGCAAAGCGCGCCCCCGCGCGGACCGCCACGACCTGCCGCGGGTTGCATTGGACGGAGTTGAAGATTGCGGAGTCGGTCCAAACTACTCATGTTTCGGTACTATTCAGATGTGTTTTTGTTTTGTATGGCGAGCCCTTTTGATGGCACCCGCGCTTGGGGATTTCTTTGCGGAGCCAGCCTTCACACGCGGGGTGTTGCCAGGCTTCCTCGCACACGCCTTCCGTCTGGTCTGCACCGTGCCCCAAATCGGAAGGCGCACGGAGAAGGGAATGAGTCGATCAGGAGGGGGAGTGCTCAGGAGTGTTTGTGCAGGTTTCCCTGATTGACGAACAGACGAAGGTGAGGTTTGAGTTCAGAGTTTCGACGTTCGTCATGCTGAGAACAGCTGACTCTTCCAACAATCTTAGCAGGTCGCAGGTATGAAACTGCTGTGGCCACCTTTTAACACATAGGCAAAGCTGCGCGAGACCAAGGTACTGAACGGGGGGGGAGCTGTGTGCGTCGTGTTTGATGGAGTCCGCGATGCCGGGAAGGGAACAACAGGCAGACGAACCCACCGAGTTCGGTGACCAGTCTACCCATTGGGCCAGGGTTGTCTACCTATTAAAATAAGCATCCACATGGCTACTAGCAGCAAGCAAGACTCCCAGAAACATGGATCTGCTAAGGAGCTTCCAGGCTGTTTCCGAACATCCCTTTTCCAAACAACCCCCCTTGGTCCGACCAGGGCAGGGTCACTTCCAGGTCGTTGCCTGGGAGGTCTCCCTATTTCAATGCACACGGCAGGGTCCCTTCGATCGATTTTTCCAGTGGCCAGGAGACTTGGGTGGCCACAGCACACCGGAGGCCTCACCACAAGCGACCGATCTCGAGCGAGCCGAGATAGAGGAAGGTGCCAGGACTGCCTCGTGCAGCAGACCCGCCTGGCTGGGGTAGTACAAACCCAATGTGAAGGGATGAAATAGATTCTACGAAACAGATCTAAAAGGACCACCCCTGTCTCCGTGTCTCGACGAGGGCAGAAGTCCATCAACGGCGGCTGCGTGTCTCAAGACCGGGAGGGTGTGGAGGTTGTGGTCCCCCCAACCCAAGTGGTTGACAAAGGTTGGATATGGGGGACCAGCTCTGGGACCAACCCCCCCCGCAGACCAACATGGACCCTGAGAAGTGATCCATGGGGTTTCCGCGTTTTCTTCTCGAACCCAGTGGTTGTCGAGTTTCATTTGGTGCTCTCCAAGGGTTTTCATACGGCGTGCCTTGGGCATCGCTACTAGGAGCAAGGACGCTACTATAGTGTGTATCCCCAGTATTGCCCAGTGGCTCTGACCGAGATCCTTCACGAAATGCTCCTTCACGGATCCATTCTCGAAATGCTTCCGACGAAGCGAAAGCGAAACTCTCGCTTTCGACCGTGGAGGCTCTATTGGATTGCTTTGCATACCTCATGTCTCCGAAAGGTGAGCCTCTCACTCTCAGGCAGGCAGTGCGTTGCCTTTTAAACATTTGGCACTCAGGTCACAGCATGCCAATACAGAGTGCCGTTTTCGGTCGTTGACTGACGTGCAGGGATTCTTTACAGACTACAGACGATGCACAAAAAATCGTAGAGTAGAAGCGTAGCCAGCCTGTACGTTGGATTTGGCTTGTGTGACACCAACGCAGGAAGCTGACGGAGATCTTTGATTTGGCTCCTTGGTTTTTTTCTGGCTTTGCATGGCTTTCCAACAAGCAGTCTCTTTGGGTCTCGTATATTTGCGAGTGCCTGATATTGGGAGGCCCTCAAAGCTATGGACTTCATGGCCTTTGGTGCTCCACTTCTGAGCCTTTTGCTGTGAAGTTCCGGTGGGCGCCTCACCAAGGTCTCTTTGGCTCCAGTGCGCCTGTGCCTACGAGCACATGGACAACTGCAGCAGCTCCTGCAGGGCCTTCAAGCCGTGTGCTGCTCAGATTTTGGCACAGCCAACAGAGACAGCCCTTCCAAGGCTTGATGAGGGGACCTGCACCCACAGGATTTTTATGGATTATATAATATTATAATATATTGTATTTTTCTTTTTATTTCTTATATATATATAGAAATATGTTCAGAAGATTTCATGTACTTTTCAATTGGGTTTCATTCTTCATCAGTTTTGCGAAGGCATAACTGGGTTTGTTCCTAAGGTTGATTTTTCGAGGCAACTCTTGAGACACCACTCACAGTGCAACCGCTGCAGTCGTGATCATAGTAATCTCTATGGTTGGCAAACGCATGCAGCTGAGCTGCTAACTATGTGAGCCATAGAAGACTACCAAAGCCTTCGTTTGTTTGTTTATTTGTTTGTTTTTGTGGCCTGGTAGGACAGCGGGACAGGCATATGCATGCACTAGTTGTGGGAAGTGAGGGTCTGCAACCACAACAAGAGTTCTCCCAAAGACATTGCACAAGATACATACGGTTTTCTGCGAATTACCTTCACCCAGACACCCCGGAGATTTCTCGCAATGTGCGTCGCCCTGCATGTGCACGCACCTGGATCAGGTGGAAAATAACTCAGAAGCACGACTGCTACGGGTAGGCCAGGAGAGGAGAGAAGAGAGAAAAGCATCCGATTTGGTGGCTAAAGTCATTACATAGTCCACACATGTCCACACAAATAGATTCATCCCCGCGGATTGGATGAAGAGTGGGACTGCCTATATAAGTTTCATATTTAAGCGATGGGTGGGTGTTGAGCAGCCATATTGCCAAAAGGAGTCCATTCGTGGCTGAATATCTAGAATCTAGGATCAATCAGCGAAAGTGGGGCTTTTCTGTGAGGACTCCTCTTTCTTGGTTAAAAGGCCAGGAAGGGCATGAAAGTATACTGTAATCTCTTTCAACTCAGCTTTATTGTGGAGTCGATATGGGCGACACCTGCTGACATGTCTTTACCTTTCTGAGGTTTGTCCTTGCCAAAGAGTATTGAGCTGGTAGTTTGCATCCAGATCCTTTGCCTCATGATTGTAGCACACTGAAGAAGGTCAGCCAAAGAACCCTTGAGAACAACCAATTGGGTTAGCATTAGGCTTAACGAGAATTGGTTTGGAACAGGACCAGGTGCAGATGTTTGAACATGTAGTGAGGCCGAACGTCCTTCCCGACCCAGCCGAGTCACCAACCCGACCAACCGGACCGCGGGTCGGGTCCGTGGGTCGGAAATTGGATGACCAGGATCTGATCCAGCTTGTGCCGGCAACAGCTTGATTCACCGATCGGATATAAGATCAGACATTTCAGTGAACGCCGTTGGTCGAAAAGGCCGGGAGCTTTTCGCTCTGTTTCACCCCGCCAGCGAGCGAGGCTGTTGGCACTCCCTGAGTTGCGATGCCTTTTGCGCGGCTGAGCTTCTGGACCGTTGCGAAGGGATCGTTGCTGTGGAGGTCGATGAAGCGCCTGTTAGGTTTCTAGAACATCCCGCCATTCACCGCCATGCAACAGTGCATGGGGTCTGAATCCACTGGGATTTTGATGGTTTTTGTTTGACCCACAGCTTTCCGCGGGGACCTGGGATCGGGTGAATGTCGTGCTGAGAAAAGCCTCCTACATGTTCTTGAAGCTTCAGTTCGCTCATATTTAGAAAGACGGTAATCTAGAATCTAGAGATGCTTTTATATAGAAAATCAACATGTTCCGAAAATCAACATGTTCGGAACTCGAAGTGACTAGGGGCAACAAGGAGAAGCCGGCTTCAAAAGTCTTGCTTTGATAAATTGTTTCTACAAGTGCTTGACTTTGGTGTAGCAGCAAAAGAAGGAGGCAGGATGTGGGCCGCTGCTAGATATTGTTTCTTGAGGACAGGTGATCCAGATCGTGTGCGGTTTTCAGGAGGCATCCTGGGAATCTTTGGTGGCTTCCATCGAAGCTCCTGAGGCTGGTGGATGTTCTTGTTCAAGTTGTCAAGTCAATGTTGGAGTTGGATCATTTTTATAGTCTTAAAGATCAACTTTTGCGAGCGCACACACGTTTGATCGTTGAGGTAGAGGAATCACTGTCCCGAACGCCCACGCTCGTGTGCCCAAAGGGAGTTCACGAAGCAGGCAGGGTGGCGTGGCAGTGTAGCAAAAGGACCATCCACCAGGTTCAATGGATGCTCAAGACATCGTGTAAGGCTGGGGCCCTTACTGCTTCAAAAAAGAAAGGACCTTCAAGAGAGATGCGTTTGAGCAAATGCCTTAAAACAAAGGTCGAGGTTCACATCGTTTTCGCCCTCCCCCTTTTTTCCCAGGTGGGGGGGTGCCTCCCATGGTGTGTCTGAAGGGGGTGAAGATTGAAGCTTCACCGTGTGAGACGCAAGAGAGAACGGCTCTACCCTCAGAATCCCGGCCCGGCCCTCCAGAGCAGGGGTCCAGACCCTCAAAATCCGATGTGTTGCGAACCGGGCCCAGATTCTTACAGAAGCTGAAAAAACAACCGAAGCTGTGCCAGGAAGCTTGAAGCGGCGCCGTTTGCAGGTGAGCTGGGGTGACTCGTGGACGGGCGAGTTGGCAATTTTTTCTCACGGGGACGTTGTTTGCCCGCTTTGCCGAAGGGACGTGTCCCATTTGATCTGTAACCGTCGATAAAGGGTTATCACGATTTTTGAGATGTCTGCCTGCAACTGAACCATCATCATCCACTGGGCCCAGGGAATGGGATAAACCCAAAGTTTGCCTACAGTGGCATCAGGGCTTTGCAGACAGCACTCTGCGGCTTGCCGGGTGATGAGTGCGCCATTTTCTGCCAAGTTAGTGTTTGATCACCGGTATCGCCAGGTCTTTCTTTTTCCACACTTGTAAAATCTTGTAAAGATTTCCCACCAATAATGAACAGAATAGACTACCAGACATGGTCAACCTACCGGTGAGTTCCTGGCAACCCGGTGAGTTACTGGCAACCCACAGCCAGGTGTGTCTCAACACACACATGAATCCAACGAAGGCGTCACGACTTGACCTGCTCTGCGCCGGAGGTCGTCGGGGGTGGCAGCACCGGAACGCCGGGTTTCCGCGCGAGCGCGGGGGAGACCCGTGTGCTGGGCCGGTTGCAGGAGGAGGAGCTGACTTGATGGGTGTGGGTGGAAGGTGGTGGAATGGTGAGGGGGCAGGTATGGTGTTGAGGGGATGAGGAAGCCGGACGAACTCATCTCTCTGAACAGACCTTGAAGCCCGAGCTTTCGAAGGGGTGTTAGGCAACTTTTCTCCTTAGGGCTGCCAGACAGAGGTTGCGACCTCTTCAAAGAAGAAGTCACGGTGTAGGTGTAGCCTTGGTCGTGCGACTGTATCTCTGAAGCAGCGTTACCTCGAGAACTCTTCGCTGAACGGACAACTGCTCACATGCATTTCTCTGGAAAGTTAATCTCTCTCTCTCCCTCTCTCTCCCCCCAACAATTCCTTTCATCATTGCATTGCTGCGGTTCGGCTCACTGTGCAGGCAAGCAGCATTTGCAGAATGGTCCTTATATGGCATGTTCTCTGTGGCCACTGGCTAGCTTTGACTCATGCTTGTGTTAAGCGACTGATCCAGGAAAAGCCTTTTGCAATGGCAGCAGCCGTAGGCCATTTCCAAACAAATTGATTATACCTCGAGTATCAGACGCTGTACCTCGATTTGTTATCCCGTTTGGATTGATCGACAGACGGACTCACTGGCCTGTTGCGGTGGCACCGCGTGACCACGCTTGGTCCGCGAGACATGTTGAGCCTTCCTTCTTTGGCCTCTCTGGGCGCTTCGACCCCTTCGAGTCCACGGTCAAATGGGTCGGACGACCTTCGCGGGCCGAAGAGAGTGGTCGCGAGGCGAGAGTGGTCAGAGAGTCGAGCGGACGGAAGTGCGACCGTTTACTGTTTGGGGTCTATGCTGAAAACCTGTTGCATCATTTTCAGAGGTCTTGGGGAAGGCTCATGCTGAAAATGCTTGCTGAAAACCTGTTGCTTTTCAAGGCGAGACTCGCTTTGTGCTCATGGAAAGGAAGAAGCGTGAAGTCTGAAGACGCGTGTAATGGAATTATGTTCTTCAGACTCCCGGCTCTGGGCGGAAAGATTGAGAACATGAGGTCCTTGCCCTAAGGGGATCCACGTGAGGTCAAGGGAGCCTTTGAATCATGCCCATATGTAAACTTGGCACTGAAACATTTGGACGCCAATCACATCCAGAACTTCAGAACGTTTCGCTGGCACCCGACAAAGACACGAACCAACCGGTGGGACCGGTTTGGTCCTTCCCCCCCAAACACCGGCCGTGTCGGATGACCATGTGGGATCTGGATGAGTTCAACCTTCCGAACCCGACGCAGTCGGTCCCTTCAAAGGCCCTGTGGATCCTCCCCGCTGCGGGCGCCGCTCCTCGGAGTGACCGCGATCCTCGGAGTCGCGCGGCGGCGTGGAGGAAGGAGAAGTGGCGCGCTGCCACTGCCCACGCTGCATCTCATCAAGGATACATGGTATCACAAGGCACCGATATGTGGCCGAAACGCAGGGATAAGGTGAAAAGGACGGGCCTGTATCTGTGTCAATGCACCAGCAAGAAGTAAGAGGAGCTAACAACCACTGGACAAGTTGTACCTTGGCTGTAAGGCCGATCTGATTTGGATTTTGTAGGATCCACACGTGATACCTAAACCCAGAGCCCATTTGACCTCTGTTTTGACAGGACAGACCATATTTTTGATGGTCGATGATCAGAAATGAGGTCAACGAACAAGTTCTGAACATACACCAGATTCTCACTTGCTTATCGATTCCGCTTCAGGTGGGCTGTCCAGAAGGCCCGCCGGCGGCAGCACATGATGAGATGGCTCGAAACCACCAGCAGCTGCATCTACTGCAGGGCCACCGAGACTCCTTCAAGCACTTCTTGACGCACTTGTTCCCAAAGCAGTTGGAACTGGTGAAAGATCAAGTCCGATTGTCTGACAACAGCTACGTCCTCATCTCCGAGGCTGTTTCGTTCTTTTTTTTCAAGAGTTGATCGCAACTGACGGTCCTGCTTTGAGGTTGCAACAGCTTTTCACACTCCTTCATTCGGGAGCCTTCCGGTCATCCCACCTTGCGTTGCCCCCCCCGTATTTTGCATTTGAGATTTCGTTGGCACATATGATCTTGACAACTCCCTCACATGGTGTTGTGAAAGCACTTGTAGAAGTAGATTAATCTCAGTAGATAGTGGCTGATAGTGGCTACAAATCGGTACCAGAGTGCCTCTTCCTGGGCCTGACTGGCTTTCTGTGTCAGGAAGAGGCACTTCAGCGAGGCGTTGAATCTCTGAAGGTGGCTGAGGGTCTCTGTACCGTGCGCCTTAAGGATCTGCATTTGCCACTCTCTCAGGCCGGTCGAGATGTGACGCGGAAGAAGGAACGAGCGTGTTTCAAACACGAAGGAACCTCCGTGTTTCTTTTTTTGGTTCGAGGGACGAACGACTAGGTTGGAGAGATGGAGGGTGGAGTAAAAAGCATGCTGCCAGATGCTACGAAACGGGATGGGTGAACACTGCCAGGTGGCACCATTCTTGTCCTGGCCATAGCAGCATAGCATGGTACCCAGCCACATGCTCTTCGGCCTTCTTGCTGGCCTGTGCAGACCCATCAAGCCAAGAGTCTCCAGCCAAGAACATCAAGACATGGTAAGACCAGATCATTCTCAAAGGTAAAGGATCAAGGTTCACCTCACAGTGCCAGAAAGCTGGCTCTCGTGATATGCTTGCTTGTGGTTTGGCGAGACTTATGAAATCACGGTTGAAGCTCCTTCAGACCTGGAAGAACCGTTTTTGCCTAGCGACCCCCGGCCAGCAACAAAGGGCCGGTCACGCCCCGTCGCACAGGGCCGTCGATTCTCCGTGCAGCTCTTGGCAGACCGGTTGCAACCTGGCTGAAACCCACCGGGAGGTGGCGGAAACCACCGGACGCCTGGGTCCACGCTCTTTCCAGTCGGCTGACGCAGCCCCGGTCGTTGGCTGATGAAGAAGTCAGCCCATTGGGCTGGGGCATGCTAGGCCTGCCAAGAGCAATCCGGAGTGAGTGATCCCACACTCCTGTTGGAGTGCGGGAAGCACTCCATGTCTTTTCCGGAACGTGTGACTGTGCGGTTTGGGGAAAACCCTTCTTGAAGGGCGAAATCATCACAACATGGACGAACAACAATTAGACAATGCAATTGGGCAACCACCTGTTTGTAAAGGAAAATGGTCATCCAAGGGGCCATGCCATCTACGTAACCATGATTGTTTGAAGGAGTCGTAGACCAAACAGACCCAGTTTTTCCTTCAGTTCCCGATCCGATTTTGACCACTCGAGCGCTCGAGCGCTCGCGCTGGCAGTCGAACGGATTGCGACCAGTTGCACAACAGCTGGAGGTACTATGTGGAGTCGGAGGATTCTCCAGCTGTTGTGCAACTCCATGACCAAAGCTACACCTGCACGTCGGGGGGGCCCGGTGGAAAGGTGCGACTTTCAGCGCGGCGGTTCTTTTCGCGGCCGGAGTTCTTCCAAAGGCCTCGTGAGGCGAAGAAGACAAAACAGAGCTGGAAGCACATCATCTGAAACTGAAGAAGATGCATGTTGGACATTTAGTAGCGACCATGGAGACCCATGATCATGGCATAGCTTGTCTCTATGTAGTTGGCCAGATGCCGGACACTTATTGACAAAGGTCAATGGAAGAACATGCAACCGTGGAGTTTCCCTCGAAGACTATCACAACAATGGTGGACACCATCCGACCGTCTTTCCGGGAAGAGAGGGAAGCGACAGAAAGATCATGAAAGATCATGTCAGTCCCCATGCTGTGGGCGTTTCACGGCTACCAAAGGATAGATCAAGGTCCGAAGGGCAGGCGGAATGCTGTTGAAGGATAGGGCCAAATACCTCGGGCGGAAGGGGAAGAGCTGCGGAAAGGAAACGGATGCTGCACCATTTCAACGCAGGGTGGTTGGACCAATGACTTGGCTCCCGACTTGGCCCACTGAGGGCTGTGGTGCCCATGAAGGTGAGTGACGCAGCGACGGGCTTGGACATCGAGGCAGCGATGGCTCAGAGGGGGGCCCCACATGCTGATTTCAGAATGATTTATAGGTATGTTGCTTTTCCAGGAATCTGACCTGAAGAAGCAGGATTGCTGTGGATGCCAGATCATTTCATGATCCCAAACCTTCTCTTCCTTCTATCTATCCAGGCATCCCAATACCTGAAGAGCGAGGCGACCTTGTTGGTCGTTACCGGCTGTCAGTCATTTCCCTGCCTTTTTAGCGCAAGGAGTTTCTCAACCCTGATGAAGTTCATCCCAAAAGTCACACTGCAAACCTGTCATAGGCCCTAAAGCGTTGATAAGGAGAGTATGAGCGAACTCCCCCGAGCTACCGCCGAAGCTCCACCAATGGTGGTAGTCCATGCAGGTTCATGTGGAGCTGGGGAAGATACCGATGCTTACTGAGCGCCTTGGTCGATGTTCAACCACGGTCGGCAGCACGTAGGGAACCTTTCCGAGACTAGAATCTGCTCTCGAGAGATTTTTTGGAAGAATCATGGGCCAACGTGGATGGCATAACCTCGATTTCGGATGACGATTTTCCGAATCGCAAGCAGGTGGTGAACTTCACTTCCAGGATTCTTTCGGGGGAGTGTATATAGGACCCTTGCAACTCGCCCCATTGAATCCCGCTAGTGCTTCAAATCCACTGGCTTTCGTTGCTCAGTGGATGGTGAGGGGTGGTCGGCACTCCCCCCGCGCTGGTGTTGGTGAAAGTCGTCTTCCACTTCGGAAGACAGGTCTGTCACGGTGCTTAACCCTGCCGAACGGGGCAGCCCGGCCTTTGAAGGTATGGAACCTTCATTGTCCGCGGGAACCCGTACATAATTGCCCACCGCTTGGAGAGGATGGCTGGATGCTACTTTACTTTGGATACTGGGCTGGAATTAGAGGGCTTTTGCCAAACAAAAGCACAGGTGGGAAGAGGAACTATGGACGAGATCTCCAAGTCGAGAGCTAAGCAGCTTGGAGTGCTTTTCTTTTCAAGAAGCTGTCTTGGGGCCGTTTTCGGAGATTAAAAATGAGGGCACACCTT